GTAGCATTTTTTAAAGGAATAGTAAAGAAACAAGCTTCTTTCTGTTTATGTTTTACTCCTCAGGGTTTTTGTGGTCTTAATGTTTCCCAAGTTAGTACACAATACAACCTTCTTCCAAATTGCTTCTTTGCAAAAAACAGTTCAAAAGTAAGATTCTCTAAAATGAGCTTCTCTTATTGTAATTCATGGTATTGACCCCGAAAAGACATGCAGTTCAAAAAATAATCAAACCAGTCAACCAAGACCACTGTGCTTGACTTTAGCCTGGCCCTCGAAGTTGAATCATCACCATGCTAATTCAGTCAGACCAACATTCCTGCTTTCTTGTTCCCCTTATTCTTTGCTATTTTTTTTTTTTTTTAACACTGTCAATTAGCTTCTGTCTTTATTTTTGTCTTCTGATTGTGTGGCTTAAGAGATTTTTCTTCAAAATGACACAAAATGGTTGTTGATCTCATTTTTTGTATGACTTATTTCTTGTTACATATATGACACTTGACAGCACTCACTTGTGAGATACAAGAGAGCACTGAAAAGTTTTGAATGATTTAAAACAAGTCTAAGTCAGACACACAAAACCCAGGTGTTCTTTGTTCCTTGAGACATTCAGGTATTGAACTGGAAGAGAAACAACACAGTCTGCAGCTCCATACAGCTCTTCCTGTTCTTGTCATATCAGAACACTTTGCTTTGTTCATGAGTTCTCAGTTTCCTTTGTTGGTTATGGTTTTGGCAGAAAAATTAGATTTGTTCTTTTGAACTTATATTTTTTTCATAGTACCAAGTCTATTATATAGGAAAAGTACTGTATTTCAGTGCATTCCAGACACTATAATGTAAAGTTTACCTGGGATTCCTGTTCAGATGCATTAACATTCCAGTTCAAATGCATTAACATTCCTAGAGCCTGATGTGACTTCACTCGTTCTGATTTTGCACTTATATAACTCTGCTGACTGCAAGGAGTTCTCCTTAATTTGCACTGAATTGTTTTCACTGAATGTTTGCAACTACATATACAAATGCTTGGTTATTTACTGTACTTCTACTAATTCTCTTTGTTTTGAGTAGGAGAGGGATGTTACCATTTATCTTATGTTGTCATTGCATATATCACATTACATAAGGCTTTTTTAAAATAATTTTTCTTACATTTTAATTTTTTAATCTTTTCTCTTAATCATCCTTCTAAATCACTATTACTCTATTCATCTGAAAAAATTGCTCTTCACTTTTGATATGTGTCCCTTTGTAGATCTCGGAAATCCTTCCTCATGCGAGGAGCAGAAACATTCACTAGCCTGTTTCAGTCAATGTGAAAGCCAGAAGCAGAATGGAGACAACCTGGTTCCCTCCTCTGAGACAGAAGAACACATTTCTCTGCACTTTTCACTGTCCTTACCTTGACTGCTTTGGATTCTCTATACTTTGGATTTGAAAAGGTAATTTTCTAGCTACTGATGACTAAATCTAATGATTGCTCTGTGAAGAAATGTGTGTACTCTTTGCTTTCCTTCATTTATGTATTCTCAAGGGGAAGAAAATAACTTGTACGTTAGGTCTCTAAAGCAAATGAAAGGTCATTAATGGCTTTCTGCTTTTTACTACTGATGATTATTGAATGAGTGTGAAATTAACTTACAAACAGATCCCTAGACTGGTCAGCTCTGATTAACTTCCATTTTTCTACAGGATAGTAGTTCTCAGAAAGGAAGAAGTACAGAAGTGAATTTATTAGCATTCTTCAGAATTCTGTTGAATGGGAATGTAACAGAGAAAAAAAAAAAGAATATATAAAGTAGTAATATCATCAGGAATATTTTTATATACTGAATATATATAAAGTTTCTGCTAATAAAATGTTGACAACAGAATACTGAAAGGATATAACAACAAGAAATCTGAGACAAAATTTTAGATAACACTTGGGAGTAATTTCATCACAAACAGGCAAGTCATCCCAAAATATATTTTATCATGTTTTTTCTTAGTAGGTTATTAAAATATAACTTTAATTATCTTCATGTAAATGCTATTTTAAGATAAGAATAATTAGTAATTATGTTCTTATTAAAGCACTATATTGTCTTGTCTGCTGCTAGCACTATTCAGGAATACTATTTTCCCCCATGCTACTCGGTGATTTGACTAAAGTATATCCAACTATTTCCCATTATTTTACAAAAACATGAATGATGATTGATAGGTGAATTATGAAGCATCTTGCTCTAGCATGAGGAAAAACTATTCTTTGTAAGTCTGAATGAACTGACTGGACTTCCAGTGAACTAATTCTCAACTGGTAAACAGTGATTGTACAGGACAGCAACAATTCAATTCAATAGTTTTTGGTAATGTGGTGATTGCATGACAGCTGTGAAAACCTGGAAATCTGTTAGCTACTAGGTTAGCTTGAGGCCTACCTCTCTGATTATTGTCATATAGACTCCTTGCATTCTTTGTTTTACCAAAATGGCCTAAATCATTTATTGTCTCACTGGCTTAAATTTTTCTTTTAAGAAATACATGCCATGTGGTGTATTTCCATTTTCCCAATTTTCTTACAGGAAAGGAAAGCAAAGGGAAGTGAAGGGAAAGGAAGGGAAGGGAACTCCCTTCTGGAGAAAGAAGTTGCTCATTCCCACATAGCTTCATCTGCTTGCTCCTAGAAATGAAGACTCAGCCTGCCACCACTCCTAGTCCCACAGTCAGCTTTAAGTAATCAAAATAACAGGATTAAATATTCCCCATTTGTGAATAGTTAGAGCCAGACTTGAAGATGGTGAAACTAATTCTAGTTCTGCTGGCATCATTAGAATTAGGTGAATTCGTATCATTTATTGACTATAATGCTTTTTGGTGCAATCCAAAGACTAATCACTTGCAGAAGTAGATAGTCTCCATCAGAAATGGCAGATGTGAACTAGAAGAGCTCCTTTTGATTTTAAAAACCATGAAATAAATTAAAATCTCTGTGCTATAATCTCCAAGAGTCAAATTGCTGTTCTTTTCATTATTGGTATTGTCATAGTTATTGCTGTCACTTGAGATAGTATTATTCACTAATTTGTTGCAAAAGTGTGAACAGATATTAGAAAAATAATTATTTCCCTTTTCTTGTCATTATTTCTAAGACTAAGAGTAACTTATTTCAGACAGTTGAATCCCCCAAAACACCTGTTTTCTTTTGAGAGTATATCAAATACAGTAAACTATGATTAGTGAATGCTTATCATTTGTATTCAGTTGAGGAATTGGTTTTTAAAGAACTTAATCTCATTGTCTATAAACAGTATTTGACATCTTTTAATGAAACAAATGTATCTGTTGATGTATCTGAGTGTTGATTCAGAGGATTAGGAATAGTTTATTTTCAACACTTTAACTGTGCTGACAGATCGAAACCAGCCTTGTCTCTGAAAGTTATTAATATTAAATTTCATGGCTAAAATGTAGTCTTTAAAATTTCCAATTTTTTTTTTTTTTTGCCTATTCTCTGTGCAGACCAAGTATGGCCATCTGAACCCATGTTCAAGGATAAAAGTTATCTGAAATACATCCTGAAGTTGACGGCAGAGGAAGAGCTGGGACAAGGAAGGAAAAGTGGAAAGCTTGAACCTGTGCTTTCCTGTGCTTTCATGTCTATTATCTCATAGTGGTTTTTATCTCATGTCATTATCTCATGTCTATTTATCTGCAGTGTGGTTAGGCAGCTGCCCTGCTCTTGATGAAATACCAGCTATCCCACCTGCTGTCATCATAGAGGCAATATTCAGTCGCTCCTGTACAGCCTTCTAGTGTCGTTCTAGATACTGTGACATCCTACTGTCACTCCAGAAGGAAAGAGGTCTCCTTTGTGTCCTGTGCCATATGTCTTAACCTCATGAAAAATCTCTGACACTTTAGTATCGCATTAATGATGGTGTGTTATCTGATGTTTAGGCAGTGCCTTACAAGATGTTTCTAACCCCCCAAGTGTCAAGATTTCTAACCAATCTAATTGGTCACTGAGTAGACAAAGACAGATCTGCCATGGCCATCACATGTGGATGTAGATACACAGGGTTACAACAAGGCTCGCATTTGTCTTCACTATCTTTTCAGGATATAGTTCCTAAAGGAAAAGCAGCCATAACCTATCAGGTAGAAGTTTGTTCTTTAACCTGAATACAAGTGTGAATAAATTTAAAATTCATTTTCCATGAATACTCATTTCTAAAACTTCCTATAGTTTTAATAAGGAAAACATGCTGTTGGGATTAGCTTGAATGATGAGCCAAGGCACAGAGATACTAATGTAATAACAACTAAATTCATATCCTTGGGCATATTTCCCCAGGTCAATAAAAAGACAATACAGAAAACTGTGATCATATGTAGGATTTTATTTCAGTACTATAGTCAACTGTTGCTTAATTAGTTAAGCATTAGTTCCAATAAATCTTTCACCAACTAAAGTAATTAAAATAAGTTAACCTAACTGTCAAGAAAAAGTTCAGGAGTATTCCCACAAGAACATATGTGCCACCATGAGACAATGATTGATACCCCTCTGAATGCTACAGAGCCAATTATGTTATTATTGTCTTGATGACTACTTGAAATAGTGGTTTATCATATGATTTTCTCCTTCTGAAATGTTGATATAAGGATTTGGCATCAATTATAGCAGGAAGGAAATCTAAAAAAAAAAAACAACCCAAAAAACAGAAGTATTGCAGGCTTTTTTTTTTTTTTTTTTTTTTGTGCTACTAATTAGCTTTCCATTTATTGAATCATCACCTATTTATTTCAGTCTCATCTTATGTAGCTAGCTTGTCAGGATTGCTCAGTCCTTTCTGTTGTTCAGCCTATGGTATTACAAGGCTGAGCCACAAAAATTATATATATATATATATATATATAAAATGCTAAATAATAAAACAAGGAACTTACTAGGAGAAAAACTTTACAAAATTTAGAAATGTTTAACAAAACTAGAGAAATTGCAGATTTATGAAAAATAAGAAGAGTAAGACAATCTCAGTTACCCACACACAAACTGGATAAATGTCTCCTATGGACAAGCTTAAGAGACATGGTGTTTGCATGCAAATAAAATAAATGACTGCTTCATAGCACATGTAGTATTAGAATCTACTAGAAAAAAATGTTATTTTATTTTTCTTTTTTTTTTTTTCTATTCTAGATTTTATTTTCAGTGGCACTGAGGGTTGATAGGGCCACAGGAGGAAGGCCCAAAGACCACTCTTCATTAATGGCACATGTCTGTTCCATCCATAAACAGAGATCTACAGGGTGTCCTGAGAACTGTTGATTAGCAAGTCTGATTTCCAGTCCTAGTAAGGCAGTTTAATCTGTGATGAAGAGAAAGAACATTGTGCTCTTATGCCCATCAGCACACAGCAAACAGTGAGTTATATGTATTTTGCGGGGGAGTTAATGTATGAGAGGTGATCATCATTCAAGGCATTGCTTAGTAATTTTCTTCCATTTCCCCTCACTGTTTACCATAGAAACGCAGACATAAAGCCCAGCAAATCTAAAGAGAATAATCAACTGCAGCTTAATTCAGGATTAATAACCATGTTATTTACTATTTTCCATGTTGTTTCCTCTGCCTTTAGGATTGTGAGAGAAAAATTGGCTCTTCTTTGTACTTCATTTTGATGTTTTTTAAACTGAGTTGCTAATGTCACATTGTACCTAAAAAGCACTGCAGTGCTTAAAATATGCAGCAAATCTTGTAGCCTGCTTTTTCTGCTGCTGATATAAATCTGAGTTCCTCATTCTCGGTTTATGTAGTCCAAAACTTCTGGAATTTGATGTTACTTCCCCTCAGGAAAGGCAAACTAATGTTCTTCATAGAGCTAGCTTTGACTTGAAGATCCTGGGAAGTTCTCTGTGTACTTACGTGGGCACTTTCTTTCAGTGATGCACAGGGCACAGACTGAGTAGCTCCATGGAAATCAGCAGACATCACAGATCCCCTGAGGAGCTCAGTTGATGTTGAGAGCTTATTTCACCAACAGGCTGAAATGATTCAGGTAGGGAATCTTGACTCTTGGGGTTTTTTTGCTCTCAGGAGCCTTGTTTTTTTGGTGTTTTTGGTGTTGTTTTTTTTTTTCAGTGATGTGACTTTACACTGATGTATGGTTAACAGTAATAAAATCATGACCATTTTACAGCTAACTGATAAACAACATGAGAAACATCTAACTGAATACAGAAGATACTTATTGTCTGGGGAATGCCATGATTAAATAGTCTATGTTTTAGAGGACAAATCCATCAATTGACTGAATTTCTTTCAGAGGCAAGAATCTTGTGTGAAACCTTTACGGCAGCCACCATAAACTGTAACAGCTCAGAAATGTGCCACCCAATCCATCTCACTTTCCATCGGGATTGCAGCATATCCATGCAGAATATGGAAAGGAATTAGCTGAGGTGATTCTTTGCTTTTATGACCACTATTATTATGTCAACTATGACACTTTACAACAGAATATTTCTGAAAAGGCATAGGAGAGAGAGAGAGAATGAAAAGAATCTGGAAGATAAAAGAATCCACTGGGCAAATAAGTGATCTACTGTAAGATTTACTTCAGAACTCGAAAAACAATGATTACAAAGCAAGTGAAATAGAAAACAAACCAAAAATAATTCTGTGTTTAAAACACTGATTACTTGGATTTTGAAGGTTTACATTCTAATTTCAATAAAGTCAAAGGCAGTGCTGCAAATGTCTTCAGGGTAAAGAGCAAAGTTCCAGGAAAAGAAATTTCAGTTTCTGTGTAGTGATACACAGAATGTTGTGATATGAGCAAAAACTCTGACAGTGTAGATAACAGAAAGGGTGGGATAATGCACCATAATAATATTTTTAAAAATATTAATTTAAATAATATTGCAACATTTCACTAAACAGAAGTTGCATTATTATTATTACTACTCTTTCCTAAAATTAAACTTTGAAGAAATTCAGTCCTGTTAGCAAAGGAACAAGCATTCTGTCATTGACAATATCTTATGCTACTGTAGAAAAAATGCTGTAAAATTGTGCTTGTTATTCTATGACAAGTACAAAATAAATCCATACATAATCATATTGTTTGTTGATTTTGGCATTTTAAGAATTTAATGTTGAAAATGAAATGCTTATTTTGAATTCATTTTAAAATAGGCAGCTAAATGCCTCCATATTTCACACATAAGAAACAACACATTTAAGAACACCAAATTGTAGTGAGGATTGGAAAGGTAAAGAGCCAAAGGAGACAAATTACTATGCATCTTCTATGCATAAAAGAACTTCTTTTATGACAAGGAGCCAGGCTTTACTATTCTGAGGTCAATAAAGTCAATGGTATCTAGCACAAAGTGTAGCCTTTCTTGAAGCCATGTATATTGAAATGAAGGTTAATGAAGTTAGATTCTGTCTTATTTTGCACTGGACTTGGTAGTAACTTAAACCAAATAAATGTTTCTTGCTGGCTGAGTTCTAATCTTCAGGAAATTTTTCACTTTTTTTTTTTTTTTTCCTGAAAAGTCAATAAATCAAAAAAAGCCATTTGTGATATAGTTCTATGCACACACACACACACAACAGAAAAAGATGAAGAATCACCTTTGTCCAACTGTATTCTGTTAGCCAATCTTTTGTGACGATCAGAGCTGGTTAGCATTTTGCAGGCCTTTTTTAGGGGCTAAAATGTAGGGCACAAACTCCATCTCCTTAGCACACGTTATTTAATCACATGAGCCTGAACTGTTCTGTTCAGTTCAATTGATTCTCCTATTAAGAAGGAAAATGGCTTTCCTCAGATCTTTAATGTTTTCAGACCAATTGAGAACCCACGTTGCCATCAAACAAAGACTATTCTGGCACTGAAACTATTGAATAGCTATTGCACGCCCACTGCAGTGCTCTTTAAATATGATTGCTATTTATTACTTGTGCTCTCAGTAGGAAAAAAAAAAAATTCAATTGATTCAGGATGAAGTAGACTGACCTATTCAGCTGCTGAAAAAACAAGAGTGGATGAGGTGGATAAATTGCATCTATGTTTGAAAATTCACAGTAGGGAAAGCTAGTAAGTATTATTGCTTGAGAGACTGACATTTTTTCCTAGTATAGCAATAGAGACCCATGCAAATTATAGCCCCACTTCTCAATGAAAACTCTAGAAGGGAACTAACCTTGTGCCCCAAAATATCTGCATGGTATTCCAATATTAGGATTCAACTGACTTTCTCCTTCAGAAACTGGCTCTGAGAGTTTGATCACTCAGAAGTTTTTTCAAAGACCCTTCCTCATAGTTGCAAAGCATTGGGGCATCTAATTCAGTGATGATTCTGTAGGGATTAACCATGAAAAGCTGAGCCTGCATGGCTTCCCAGAGGCTCACCAGAGGTGGGAAGAGCTTCGGGCTGCCCTCAGCTATCACACTGAGTCTCTACTTCTTCCTGAAGCAAGTGAGCCGACCTGAAGGCTAGCACGTTCTTTATTCTCAAAAGAATATCAGGAAGGAGATGGAGAAAATGGAAAAATAAATTTCCCTTATGATGGGTAGATCTGTATGGATGAGATTTTCCCCCAGCTTTACAAATAAGCAATACTCTATGCAGATTTATAGGCTGAAGGCTGATGTATAACTCTGAGGTTGATAGAAACAGTGCAACTGGACATCTCTCACCAATTCAATCTCTTGCCATTCTCTAAGCAGTGAACAGTGAAAGGATCTGACATTTAAAGTTGTTTCTATTCTCAGATGTTGGGACACGGAGGATCTATATCAAATGGGCATAGGAACAAGCACACTAGGATTCGATTACAAGATATTCAGCATGAATATTGACACTTCCCTTAAACTCAGAGACGGTCTAAACAGTTTTTTCCTTCTCATTTCTCAGGGTACCTAGACATATGGCAATAAGTGTTTAAATCTTGAGTTTGACATATGTCATTTTGCCATGACAGTCAGTGAATACAGTTGAGGAAAAATAGGAGGGATGATTTTGTTACCAGTATCTGGAATAAAAGTTATTTAATACCTTGAGACCTTAAGTGTCTGTTGCAATTTTCTCAGTAGCAACAAAGATTTATATATTTTTAATATAATTTATATGATATATAAATATATAATATTCTTGAAAGTTAATATTCTCAGTAGTAGAGGTAATTGATTTTCTGTACAAGTGTTTACATACCGCACCAAGAAATTGAACTATAGTGGTCAATATGTGTCTGGTGATACTGGATACTTTTTCATTATACAAATCACTTCAATTTTGGAAGGCCCCCGTTCTCAAAGATAGATAAGAACTCATTATTTGTACAGGTTTGCTGTTGTATTTTGACTGAATCTGATAACAAGTTCATTTTAAGTGTTCTACACCCAAAGAATTAAGAACATATACTCCACTGTAAACATATCCACATATATCTAGGCTTTTACTACCTGATTAACAGTAAGGCACAAAAGAATTATTTCCACAGAAAATTGAAAGTCATGATGAGTTCATTCTTATCAACTATGATAGCCATTAATCACAATAGTCTTGTTCAGCATTCAGATTGCTAGAAGAATATCATTGCCCGGAAATTCAATGCTTTATTCCAGGACTGAGTCACTTAAGGTGACTCAAAACCATTATTTTCATCACAGTATATGTCTAATTAGCAACTCAATTAATAGTTTATAACTTAAGCCATTTGCTGGGTTTTCACTTTGGTTCATGTAAAAAGGCAGTTTTTGCACAATATTTTTTTTTCTTATGAATATTTCAGTCCAGAGGGAAAAGCACTGTGTTTTCAAAACAGAGCACATCAAATTACAATGAGGCAAAACTTGCATGTATTACAGCTAGAGTACCCACTACAAAACAGCAAACATTTTACCCAGATTAATTTCTGAAACATCTAGGATATATAGTTAAAAAGCAGAATTCTGAAGATAAATCTCAGCCTGTTGTATGACAGATAACATCATATCAGTCGCATACCCATACTTTAAGCAGAGGCCATCTCTTGGGAGTGATAAGTGAAGCTGGACAACAGCAGAAACAGGGTAGCATTTGAACCCCAGTAAAATCTGTACCAAAATCCTTGGCTTTGGTGGAACATCAGTTCTTCCACAAGCTACAGCAAATCAGTAAAGCTTACAGTGAACTTCAGGCATCCTACAGCTTTGCAGAATGCTCTGAAGTATGTCATAAAATCTCCCAAAGCATCTGAAAAAATTATTGAGAAATGACTGAAAAGGTTAAAAGTAAAAAGAGAGGGAAGGAAAAAAAAAGTCATGCTAAGCCATAAGAGCAGAAGTTAGGGTTAAAAACAGAAGAGATGTACTGACAATTATAGGAAAGATCTTGCTTAGCCAGAGCTCTTTTTCCCTGCAAAAGAGCAATAAATGTGAAATAAGTGAGTAGTCCATTTCCACATATATCTGCCTTGCTGTAGATCTATAATATGTTTTAGCTGCTGTAGTTAACTGAAATAAGTATGGTATAAAATGGAATTTGTTGTAATGAATGAAAATCACAAATATTTATCTTTTTACATTCCAAACTTCTAGAGGTTAAAATCACATAAACTGTCAGGTAATCTCCTGAGAAGCACAGAAAGCCACATTCCTTTTAAGTCTCATGTAGAATGGAAAAAAGTACCACAAAATATGCTAAGCAGAGCAGGATTGGACTCCTGAACCCTTGCACTGGATGCTCTACTTGGCCTTTGATGCTTTTAAATCATGTAATTCCCTTTAATATTATGTTAAGATTTTCAGGTAAAGCTGAAGTCTCCTAGCAAAATTTGCCTGTCTTTTTAAGATAGAAAGCTAACTAAACCTTCAAAAATGTTCCCAGAAAATCTCTGTGGCTGGTAGATGAGAGAGGGCACATGAAAGAAGGGATTTATTTTCCCTTCTATTTCCTGAGTATTTCTTCTGAAACACATCTAAAGCAATATTTTATAAATACAGCCTTTGTGCAGAATTTTGAAGTCTCTGCCAGAGTGAGGGCCACAACTACTATTTCGAAGCATATGATCAGAGAGGAGCTGAAGGGTATAAGCAACTGGCAATGGTGATGGCAGTGGAGGCCAGGCATAGCAGCACAGGTGTAGAGGAGAACAGCAGGATCTGTGCCAAAAGCTATATCACATGGAGATGGATGGGGATAGGAAAAAGGTGATGTGGAAGCATCAGGGAATATGAATCTTGTTCACTGGTATCAATGCACAACATTCCTAGGACATTCTCAGTAGCTCAGAAATACCCAAACTGTAAGATTCTCTCATCTAGTCATCCACCAGAATCTTACAGATGTTTTGTAAGATATTTAGTGTTCACCTACTCTAATTTATCTCTGCCATGAAATACCATTTTACTCTAAAATGTCCCATCATTGATCTATGTAAAGTTCTCTCTGCTCTATCATATGTCACAAGTGAGTGGAAGATAGAAAAGAGTACCATAAAAAAGAGGCATATTTTCATGAGGGTCCGTATACTTCCTTCCTTCCTATATGTACTTCATAGGACCTATTTCCAGAAATGTAGCCTGGCTGTGTATCAACAGGCCTATCAGCCTGATCTCAGCAACAGCAGAATTAATCTGAAGTTTCTGTGACCCACTCCATAATGAAGCTGCTCAAAAAGGGACATCTTGCTGGTTGTGGTGGTTGTGGTTGGACTCAGACAGAGACTTGCAACCTGCTTCCAGGCTGAGATGGGTTTTTCAGCCCCAGGAGTGGGTAAGTGATTGGGTGAGGCTTGGATGCTGTATGAGAATCTCGTGCTTGCAGGGTCTGTGAAGATAGAATGTTTGTAGTGCCTTTGTCACAGCATGGTGACAGTCTCTCACTCCTCCCTCACTCCTAACAAAAGGCTGACCTGGGCTACCTGGCATATAAGTATGTCCTTTTGATATAAGATTGTCACAAGACACCAGAGATTAATCTATGATGAGAAGACTCTGAAAACATGTAGATTTGCTGTATCACTGACAGGTGTTCATTATGGAGATCCATATAAAGGGATGTGATAGGTGCAGCTCCTTCCTTTACTTTTTCACAGGCAGTACCTGTGCTTGGGGCTGCTGAGTATGTGTCATACCTCGCCTTAAGGGGAATCTGCAGTGTGCTTAGAGATGTTGTGATGGCTACCCAAATGACAGGTACTCACTGCCAATTTCCTCCAGCCAAATTGTACTCAGAAGGTACCTCCCTTCAAAGACAAATGGAGTACTCGGGGTACTATAATTGTGCAAAAAGGACAAAAGTAGAAGCTCCTTTGATGCTGTTATGTCTAAATTTGCACTCTATACAGAGTCAGTATCTGTGCCATGCAGAATTCCTCTAAAACCCCCGAGATTTACACTGCTTTCAGTTTGAGAAAGACAGCATAAATAATATATATCTTATCTTGAAATCAACGCAATACGTTTCAAGTGAGCTTTAATATATATTAATATGTATCACACTGATGTCTTAAAAAAAAAAAAAAGGAACATTTAGAAAACTTTGTGTTTAATAAGTTTTGTACATTTTTCTCCTGATGAAAGATAGAAAAGATGAAAGTAGGTCCTGAAATAAGAGCAGTTGTTGGATGGAAAGAGGGATAATTATGTTTTAATACGTATAAATACATATTGTCTATGTAAATGTTGTTGCAGTTTCATCAGTATCATTAATTTCCATACATTTACAACTGTTTGCATATTAGCTGGAGAAAGCATTACAAGTATAAATTCCCTGCATGTGTCTCCAGCCAAGTAAGTAGCTATATCCCAAATACATACCTTGCAATCATTGTAGTCTGTGCCTTCTTTGCTTCTATCTTTCATAGATAAATTATCCTTAGAGTACTCAGCCCCTTGAGGTGAAAGACAGTGATGGGGAGCAGAATAAACCCCCCAATAGCTCAGGAGAAAACATGCTACTCCACGTAGACGATTACAACCCTATGGGGCCAAATGGGATTAACCTGAGGGAGCTGGAAGAATTGATTGCCAAGCAATTTAATTTATCAGCAGTCCTGATCAACCAAGGAGGTCCTAGATGATTGGACACTTACCAGTGTTATGCCCATCTACTAGAAGAGTTGGAAAAAGAATCCAGGGAACTAACAGCCTGTCAGCCTGATCTCAGTTTCAGGGAAGGCTATGGATCAGATCATCTTCAGTGCTGTCACACAGCATGCGTGGGAAAACAAGGAAACCATGTCCAGCCAGCATGAGTTCATGAAAGGCAGGTCCTGCATGACCAACCTGATCTTCTACAACTGAGTGACCCATCTCGTGGATGAGGAAAAAGCTGTGGATTTTAGCAAGGCCTTTGATACTGTCTCCCACAGAACTCTCCTGGTCTGGAATACAAGTCTTGCGATGAGTGGATGTGGGATCTCGGATTGTTTATTCTAGAAAAGAGGAGGCTCAGGACAGATCTTACCACTCACTCTGCAATGACCTGAAAGAAGGCTGTAGCAAGGTAAGGGTCAGTCTCTTCTCCCAAGTAACTATCAATAGGATGAGAGGTAGTGGCCTGAAGTTGTGCCAGAGGATGTTCAGGTTGAAATTTTAGGAAAAATTTCTTCTCTGACCGAGTGGTTAGGTAAACAGGCTGGTCAAGGAAGTGGTGGAGTCACCATCCCTGGTGCTATTCAAAAAATGTGTGGATGTGGCACTTAGGGACACGGTTTAGTGTGAATGATGATGTTCAGTTGACAGTTGGACTTGATTCATCTTAGAAGTCTTATACAACCAAAATGATGCTATGATTTTACGATTAATTGAAAAAAAATGCACAATTTTTCTTGGCCACTGTACTAAACTCAACACTGAGGATTCTGTTGAATATAAAATGAAATTGGAGATAATACAGTATGCCATCTCTGTGTCTGTTAAATTAATAATAAGTAAGTGATGAACAAAAATTCTGTTCATTATGTATTCTATGACCAAAAGAATAATTTATAAATTTCAAGTAATGTTATTTCTTCTCTAATAGAAAAATGAATTATCAGTTTTTAATCTTCTGCCATAATCATTTAAACTATTTTAATAAGAGGCTTGTCTATCTCTGAAAAACAGTATCTGATGGAGGTTCTTAGAGTTATGTCACTAACACGTCAGTGAAGAAATTTCACCGGACTAATTGTTTTCAATTTAATTTCACCTCTTAATTTTTTACAGTTATTGTTATATTACTCCCTGAAGTTTCATCTCAAATGTCATTGTATGCCTAATTCTATTTTAGCTACTGGATCTAACAGAAACAGAAGCAAGTAATTTACAGCATTTTCCTAGATGAAAATAAAAAATAGCCACCAACATTGGCACTTGAAAATTTGGTGCCACGTTAAAGCTTGTTACAAGGCAAACTGATAGCAAATATATTTTAGATTGCATGCTATTGTGCATTCTTTATGACCTACTACTTCTTTTCGAGTGATGCAGCTTTAGTATGTGTTCAGTTCCTTTACATGTCATTTAGATTTTAAAATATAGTTAATAGAGTACAGTTAATATAATTCAGTCCTTGATATGGAATAAACTGTAACATCTTTCCCTTAACCAGAATTTTGTATACACTCCCTAAACAGACTATGTATCTAGTACGGACACCATTCTAGACAGATGATTACACAGGGTTTCTGTATGTCACACAGGAAGAAAGAAGAAAAGTTGGCCAGAGATTTGACTTTTCTTAAAAGAAAAAATACCTAATATTGAAGAGATTTTGTACATTGTCATGCAGTTCTATATCTTCTGTGAAAGTCTGCAAAGTTATTGTGTATGCAACTTGAAGGAAAAAAAAATACAAGTCATACATTGATTGAGAAGTGTGGCTGGGATACATACTCGGAAATAAAAAAAGATTTTATCAGATTTTAGCCTTGGATATTTAAAATGAATCTTTTAGAAGAAGAGAAAGTGGGACATCATAGCCCACCTATAATTACACAGAAGCCTTTATCTTACCACTTGATAAGTATAAGATGAAGTCCAGATGGTTATGAATGCTTTTAGATTTTTAAAACGTTCTCTTTTTTCAATATTTTCACTTGTGATGCAAATTTAACCTTTGTGAAAAAAAAAAACAAGTAAGTCATTCTTAAGCAACTGAGAAGATATCAATACAATGTATTAACATTTCTTCATTTCTGACTTGTTAGAAAGTTCATTATAGAAGAATGACTGAGATCATAGTTTTATAGCAGACCAGCGTGGGATGATACTCCTGCTCTGGCAGAGATATTAATAACTTTGACAGTGGGGAATGGATAAGCTCTCTAGGGTATTATATGCTTTCTTGTTCTGTGTTTTACCTTGTTCTGCGCTTTACCTTGTATACGAGGAGGTCAGCTGAAGACCAAAGGTTCTCCAGTGCAGCACTGTCATAAGCAATGCAGATAATCTCATTATCTTCCAACTCACAGTCTTTTTCATGTCTCAGGTTTCATGGGAAAGTGCTTAATGCAAGGTGAAATTTATCTTCCCTAATTTTAGCTATCTAAATGTTAGTAATCTAACAAACTGCTCAAGACAGCCTGTAGTCAGAGGAGAAAGACAGGCACCTCCAGACTGCAATTATTCCCACTCTACCATAGGAACCTGGGCTGCATTGTTGTGGAAATTTCCATCTCTCCTTCCCTCTCCTGAAATAGGAGACTAAATACCTTAAGTTTAAAGTGACTGCAATGCAATACAGTGTGTATTCCTTAAAACTCTATATTTAAACTTTCTAAAGTCATGAAGGTATTGTATTCCTGTATCCTTACTGTCCATATCTATTAGTTTTAGAAATAAATTAAATGTCTTAAAATGTTTTTATTTCTTTTTCCCTTTGTATGGTTTTGCATTACATAATGTAACTCCAATTGCAATTTCCATTTCTGGAATGCAAGCTTTTCATTTAGAAACATTCTTCTCTATGGAATGACTAGGTTCATAATGTTTGAATATGAAAGAGTTTTACCAGTGATCGTCCCCTGAAATCTAATGCTAGGCTTTATAGTCATCTAGTTTTTATCAAAATGAAGTACATTATATCTTTCTGAAGGTATATTAAAGTTGACAGTTCTCACAGTTTGGTGGCTTGTCTAATATCTCCTAGATTTCTTCCATCCCATTTCTTGTAATTGAAAGTTGATTTTCTTTAAACAACAGCAATAAAAAACAACAGCTACAGTTCTGTTTTCTCAACTCATTTTTTAGTGAAAAGCTTGATTGATTTACCTAAATATGTGAAGTGTATAAAGAAGAATCCAAAATCAAACATGCATTCAGATTATTACTTTAAAAGACCATTTCATAACTGCTACGTATTTTGTTAATGAGGGTGAATGAGAAGTCAGTATCGGTTCTGAAATCTTCTCCACAGCTATTATCTTATTTTACTTTTCTGTTTTTTTTTTTTTCGTTTTTTTTTTTTTATGTGGGTGCGTATATTAAAAGCTTATTTGCAGTTGTTAATTGAATAAATAAATAAATAAATAAAAATTACTAATGATAGCAACTCTGAAAGTCAGCTTACATGTATCTTGATTTGATGATCTCCCTTCCTGGCCCCCAAACACACACACACACACACACAAAAAAAAAAAAAAAAGAAAAAAGAAAAAAAAAAAAAGAAAAAAGAAGGAAGTAGCAAAAGTTAGATTTGGTTTTGAAAATGCATAAGGAGACAAAGCACAAAATACTGCTTCATTAGTGTGTCAATACTCAGAAATTTCTGCAGGAATGTGTTTAATAGAGAACAAAAATAATCATGGCAGCACATAAAGTTATCGTATCAAAGTAGAAGGCTTGGTTTTGTAATCATGTCAGATATAGGAATACATGTTTGATTTTCTGGCTACATTCCTAAAATGATTAAGCATCCTTGTCCAGAAGGATACATGGATGGCTTTCATTCTTCCTGCTTTCTTAAAAACTGAGATGAATATCTTCTTGTGATTTCCCTGAACATTTGAATTTAGAAAATTTTCATCCGTATGAACCACCCAACCTAAACTGGCAGCCAAGTTTGTGCTACAAAACATGTTATAATATTAAAATGTTTTTGATCTCCTAGTCAAAAGCCTTCAAGTAAATTTTCAAGTAAAAGCCACTTGAGAGCCCATCTGGAAACTGTCCCAAGCTTATATTTACTAAATGTTCACAACATTGCTGGTTGAAAGAGAGAGTAATTTAAGCAACATAACTTTTAAAAGAAATATTTTATGGCACAAGCCACAAGAGGGAAGTAGTAAACAGTCTTAGGAAACACAGCATTTGAGCAAGTTTTCAGTCTTAAATGAAATACTATATTGCTAGTGTTTTGGGATTTGCTTTTCTCAGGAAGCTGTGAGAAATGGCAAAGTTTATTTTTGCCTTAGTTTTTATGTGGACCCAATTCTTAAGGCAGACTTTTCTCCTAAAAAACAATTCAAAGTTTGTTTCCTAAAATGGAGTTTGAATGTTACTTCTGAACACCTCTGCTGTTATTTAAGCTATGCCTAGACTCTCTGTAATTTCTCTATAAATAAATAAGAAAACAACCAGCTGGTCTAAATCATAGAATCATAGAGACATAGAATGTTTTGGGTTGCAAGTGATCTTTAAGATCACCTAGTTCCAACTTCTGCTATAGGCAGAGAAACCTACCTCTGAACCAGGCTGTTCAAAGCACCATCCAGCCTGGCCTCGAAAGTTTCCAGGGCGGTAGCATTCACAGGCTTGCTGGACAGCCTGTTCCACTGTCTCACCACCCTCACAGTAAAGAATTTTTTTCTAATATCTAGTCTAATTATACCCTCTTCTAGTTTAAAGCCATTTTCCCTCATCTTGACACCATGTGTCTAGATAGACTATCATTTTGATAAAATATACAGTGTTTTACATAAGCATGTCACAACAAACTTCTTTTATGACCAAAAAAATAAAGGTGTTGCACTGATACGTCAGCCAGGAAGATTAAGCAGTGATATGAATTAAACTAGAACACAGTATGGAGGAATCAATGCAGAAAAGGCAAGAGGAAAAAGCACCTCTTTCTTCTTGAAATTTAAAAATGCACTTTGCCTGCAAAGTTGTGATTGAACCAGAATGACTTTGAAGGGCATAACTTTATTGATCCTAAAAACCTAACAGAAACACTGTTTAGTCTTATGTGACAGCAGATGGCACTCTATAACTATTGGCATACATGTGCATCTGCACATATGTAGACATAGACATACATCTACACACAATCACAAAAGCATATTGCTTTCCATCTAATGAGACCTCAGAAAAATATAGGGTCCAAGTCTTACAATGCTGTTTTCTGTCAAAATACATTTGAAACACAAAATGTCTCTATGTAAGATTTTGGAAAGTTTTTCAAAATGGAAGACCATGTACAATAGAAAAGTAAAATATATTGCTAGTATACTTTCCTTGTCTTTTACAGTCTTTGCATCTCATAAAAATCAGTTTCCTTGAAAAAAGAAATGTATTGTTCTTTACAGATGCTGGTACAATGAAAATGAATCACAATGGGGCTTTGTTTTGTGGAAGTTTTTCTGGTTGATTGGTTTGTTTGTTTTTTTTTTTTGTAAAAAACATACTGCCATATCTGCCTAATATTTACAAGGAGTGCAAAAAGTACTAAAGATGTTAGCATTAAAAAGAAGAAAAAGAGGAACTACAACACTATCTACTGTGCTCCTGCTGACATACACAAGAAATATGAAAACACTTTTATATGAGTAGTACGTCCTCCTCTTGGAGTTCTAGGAAGTTTTATTCTCTCTTATTAAAAGAAAAAAGAAAAGGAGTGAATGAATAAAGCTGGAGAAAGCTGAAGGGAGAACAATAATTATTCTAGACATGAAGCAGCATTGATGATAGGAGAACAATGTCACTTGAAAATAAATTTTTACTAGATGCCGAACTACGCAATTATTATTTACTGTAGTGGATACTTTTCCTTGAATAAGGACTGCATTCTTAAAATAAATATATACACAACATATATGTTTGATCAAAAAGACCATTGAGATAGTTTAGAGCAAGGTCTGTAATCTGAAGATCAGGGCTAGCTTTCTTTCTGATATAAATAGTCCTGCATTCCTACTGACCAAGAGAACAACCCAGTTCTCATAGTAGCTATGTTAAAACCCAAAAACAATAATAATAACATCAGTGGTGACTAAGAGAAAAATTTTTCTGGTTATCACTATTTTCAGAAATCTATTAACCAAAGAGTCTGGAGCAGCCACTCATAAAGTACTGAAGACCAAATTCACCAATATTGTATTTGAAGATGAAACTCAGACCAGTTTGGACTCACAACTGGATGTGTAAGGACACATTCTTGCATTCAGGTATGGGTTTTATCTGATCCATATTAAATACTCAGTTGTGATACCATTGAGGGTATGACTCAAACCACCATATATGTCAACTTCCTTTGGGGTGATATTGCAAGACTAGCAATAATTAAAGAGCCTGATCAAGTTATATGGATCCTGACATCATCTGTTAGGTTGGGAGTGACCTGCAGTTACATTTTAGTCTAACTGTTTGCAATTAAATAATCCTAGAAATAAGACACACGTGGTAGTTGTAAAGGCTTTACATTTCACCCTGCTTCAGCTGATGGTCATGAGCATATTTAGTGAATGTAGGACCAGATCTAATGAAGGATTTACGCATCTAAAATCTGAGTTGAGAGCCTAAATTCTTCTCAGTCTCAGACCTCAGAAACCTGTTTGGTTGCTCTCTAATCCCAGTAAGTGCAGTAAGATGATAGATCTATAGCTCTTCTTTAGATGAGAATTTTGATGCATAAGGCACTCAAACATCTGTGTATCTAGATAAATATTCCTTGGCAAGCATTCTGGAAGCACACTCAAGCATATTCCAATTGTGCACACCAAAACTATACAAGTGTAATCATTGCTAGTTTATTTGGAAATGCATTTCCTATATCACTTTCCTCACTGCAGAACTCTAGAATATTCATAAAAATGTGAGACTTCTTTTCTGGCGTACAAATGCACACAAGGAAAAGGTCGTAACCACAAGTTCACATGTAACCCCCCAAAAAGCTTAGATTTAGCTTGAAAGACATTTAGGGGAAAATACAGAGATTCTCAGCTTGATTCTAATGGAAACAGAAAAAAAAAAAAAAAAGCCAGGATAGTCTGGACTGGAAAAAGAACAAAAAATGAATAAAATGTACAGATATGCTTCATAGTTACTACATAGATACTAACAATGGGAGATCTGGTTTATAATCCTTTTCCTAGCAGCCTTTACCCAATTTTACACATTGATTGTTCCTTAAATCCTTATAAAGCCTCTTATGGGGACAATAAGTCTACACGGCTGCCTCCAATCTAGAATACAGAAATCACGGCCTTGATTTGTGTTTTGTCTTGCTATCTTTATAAAACAATACATCTTAAATTCTTTTTGCACAGGAATGCTTTTATAACAGAAAGGGTTGGAGATGTTCTTTCTCTCTCGTGTACTGCATTGAAAAGCCTATAAAGGTCAGGAAGCAGTAGAAAATACAGGTGTGCATCCTGCTGGGTGGAAAAGAGCATGAAATAAGCCTTCCCCTGCTTCCAGGATGAGTGTTCAAATTGTATCCCCAGCAGAAATTGCTCTTCTACGTGTCTTAACATTAAGTCAGTTTCTTTATGCTTTTTCAGCACTTTTTCTCAGATGCCCCTGAGGAAACAGAGCTTTGCAGAGAGGAAGCAACAGAAACATGCTGGGACAGTCAGGAATATCTTGTGTTCATATTGTCTGAGTTGGGAAGGGGCTGGTCTCAACTTTGGTTTTGGACTTAGGCACCAAACTTTGTGTTCTATTTATGTGCTCTCTTTTAAGTCTTTTACTAATGTGTGAGGCTTTGAGTGCCAGATGCTGGGAGATTAAAATACTTTTTTTTTTTTTTTTTTTTGCTTGATCCAAACCTTTACTATCCAAAAAATATTGATAGTAATGAGCTTTAGATTCAGCCCAAGACACCACCTCTTCTCTAGTTTATTTTCCATAGTACATGAAGCATTTGGAAAAGGGCTTAAGAGCAGACCACAGTGGAGAAAACCATGCTTGTTTTCCTCTCCCGCAATTATTCCCAAGTCCTATTTTCAAACTGCATACTGCTTATTTTCAGTAATACTCCCCAGTGAACCATTCATCTGGCTTGGCAGCTGCTCTGTGTGCAGTACATTTCAAGAAGGAAGGGGACAGAAGCACAGGCATGTTTCCAAGAAAACAGATAAACTGCTTTGGTGTCACTGACTTAGAAAGTGGGTTAGTCATACTCTCAAAGGCTGGTATCCCTATTACTTTTACTCATCCAGAAGAAGACATGTGCCTGTGCTAGCCCACCTCTCAGCATATAATTCAGCAGTCTTCTTCTCCTCTGGGAGTACACAAATGAACATAAAATAGGTTTTGGAGTTTTCTATTTAAATGATACAAAGTATTCCCCTGTTTTAAGGCATCCTGTAAAGCTGATTTAGGGATTACTGTTATGTTGCTTCTCTTTTTTTAGATACACTAAGTATTTGTCTATTCATTTAAACCCTTATCCCAACAGAGAATAGGTAGCAGGTTAAATGTTAGTGAGCTAAAAATTTTCACCACAACAAGCAGAAAAAACAGCATGAGATGACAGATCAGAAGGAAGTTAGCAAGAGTGTAGCATGAGAAGTTTAACTGGAAAATAATATACATATACATGATTAACATTTGATAAAAAAATAGTATTATATAATCAAAGCAAATGAAGGCAAGCTTAGAACATGATATGAAATGTGTATAGTTGTGTGTTACATAGAAAAGAAGGAACAAAATTATAATACTTGGTGCGATTGAGAATAAAAGGTAGTATTTCCTTTTAAATAATTACTAATCAAAAATACTTAGCACTTACCTGATGAAAGCAAGTAATTTCTTTGTCCAAGGAAACACAGGGAAACAAATGAAACAATAAACCAGAGAATAACAAAATTTGGTGAGGTTTACCACAATAGTATCACATGCCTTCTAAGCTGTGTATAATGATCCTATTTAGCTTCTCTTTTTCTCCTTCTTCCTCCCACTTCTGATGGAGATTGACTGGTACAAGCTTAAAGTGAGAAACTAATTACTCAAGGAATTACAGTACTGGGTCTTGAAGTCATCACATTTGTCTTATTTTTACATTATAGCTGCTTCAATTTCAGTGAAGATATTTCTGATTTATACTGGTGCAATGTAGTTAATATTTTGGTCAAGTAATCTTCCTATATGAAAAGTGCATATTCCATTTTCAGATGCTTAATTGTGCTGCTGTAATGAGGTAAATAGAAATACTGTTTGAGAATGTAAAAATAAAGTCTAGTAAATTTGAAGAATATCAATAGATACAAGAAAAAGAAATTGCTAAGAAACTTCCAGACAGAGGAAGAAAAATGAAGACTTCTATTCTTTCTCTAAGTTGTACTTCTCCAAAGGTGAACACATACTGAGCTCTACTGAAAGCTATAGTAGATATGTCATGGAAGGCATTACTGGATACCAAAATATACCAGACTTGAGATGTTTGAAACCGGTGGATATCTTAAATAAATGCCTTCGAGTCAGTACCTGTGTTCAAACTGTCCTGCAAAAGTGCCTTCACCTGTCCCTTCAAAGCCAAATTCTTGAACAGTCTGTGCATTCTTTAACCATAGCAGCGAGTGCCACAGTGTTCCATGTAGAAAATGCAGAAAAAAAGGCTATAGAACTTTCTGTTTTGGTGAGCATGCTAGCACTGAGTCCATAGTGAAATCACCCTTGCAGTTGCTGCTACAACCTGAAGTACAGCAGCGTTGAGACTATGCACAATATTGCTCTGAGGGTTGGTGAACCCACACAGATTTTTCCAGAATCCACTGCACCAGCCCAGCTAAGCCAGCAGACTGAGAAATGTGCAGCTGCCTGCACACAACTCTGTAACAGTAAAAGACCCCTTTTCCTGTCCAGGGAGGAAATAGTATACCCTACACCAACATTTTTGGAAAAATATAAGTGAGTTAAGTTCCTTAACTGGAATGTAGAGCACACTTCTGATGCTCTGGATATCTAAGGGTAGGTAATAGAACCAGTACGTTCGTGAAATTTCTCTTGGTGCAGGATTGCATAACAGTATTTTTTTTCTTCTCTTTAGATGAGATAGATGGAATGATTTTCGGCATTGCTCATGTACCTTGGGCATGGAAGGTGGACTTCAAAGTGAAAGTATATCTGCTCAGCATCTTCTCATCTGTGAGGCTGACACATGCCACTTGGAGAACAAAAGTGACTTTAGGAAGGAATGACACTAATTTTCAAAAATCAAAGCCTTAAGCCTGCATTCTATATTTTTATGCTGACAAGTCATTGACAAGAGTATCAAGAAATGGAGGCCACAAGAAACCTACAAATTCCCTGCAGAAGGATACCTGGGACATAATCAGGATGAGTGAGTACTGATGCAGTGTAGGCATGTGAAGAAATACTAAGGGATTCTTATCAGTAGGCCTTTAAGAATTATCATTGCTCGAAACACTTTGTTGACCTTGATGCCTAAAGCTATACTGCTTTATCAATATGAAGGGGAGGATTTCACAGACTGTAGTCCAGGCAAATGCCTTGGATACTTTGAAGAATGAAAATGAAGAGTGACCATATCTTCTGGGGTCAACCTGAGACTGTATTTCTGACTCTTTCTGAATTGGCTAAGCACTCTTTCTTGATAGATCAGCTCAATAGTGAAGAGATGATAGGTGGAGATTCCAATTTTTTTTTAATGGCTTGGCAAGGAAGGCCCAAAAATTACTAAGGACAGCAAATGTGAGACAAAGCAGACGATGTGAGGAAAGGAAAAGCCTCACCTTTTATTCACGCTTATTGTAAAAACGTTATTTATGGGCTAATAAGTATGGACTAATTTATGGACTAATTCATCAGTACCTGATGAATGACAGCCACTTGACTCGTATAAACTCTGTCCCTTAATGTGATCCATGAATGAAGATTGTGAACTCATGCAGCGTCTCATTAAAGATCTGCTAAAAAGATATTGGAAAATTACAGAAGTTCAGATTGGAAGATTACAAGCACACCTATGCTTATGCTGATCTGAAACTAAAGTCATATATTTATTATTGTATATCTTATGGAAATAATGGTGGTGTTATTTGTGAGTAGTTTCTTAGTTATACTAAATTCTGGTTTCTTAGAAATACTTCCTTTGTAAATGATGAGCTAACGCTGAGGGGAAAAATGCTATTATGATTTTATGGCAGCCAAGAGGTATTATTTAATGCAAAAACCATTAGCACAAGGTCATAATTATGCAGTCACTTGAAATGCCCTCTTTTAAGATACTCTGAAATTCTGTTTACTTTCTTTAAAAACTCATGACTATGTATCATAAAGATAGAAATTGTACATATACCTGTATTTACTTATTTACATTTCAAATTATAGAAATTTCTGTCCAAAACAGCAGGGTTTCTTCATAACTATTCATGTTTCCAACACAATAGGACAAAAGGAGAAACTCCAAAGGAAATACAAAGGACTTTTTAGGTCTCAGGGATATTTTCTCAATCATTACCATTATCCTAATCCTTAGAATGAAAAGTTGTAAAGCACAAATAGGAAAATGAAGAGAAAACAATACAGTTCCTCTTGCATATTATCTGTAGATAAATGTTCAGATTAAGAGTGATTTTGATTTGTTTCTAAATCAACATTACTTTTTGTGTTCCTTAAGGAATAACAAGTTACATCTTTAGCTGCAAGTAGCAAAGAATTTTCTAAAGACAGTAGTTATTTTTAACAGTAGTTAATAGCTTGTGACTTTATTCACATTTTCCACAAATTCTTACTGAGAGGATTTGTTACAGTAGAAAAAAGTTCCTGCTCTGTAGCAGGAAATTTGTTTGAAGCCTATTTTCAAATGGCTATTTGAACCCGTCATATATTTATACTTTTAAAAGCACATAACCCAATTTTCTTTTCTCTAACATATGACCTTTGTTTCTTTATGATAAAGACACCATGAAAGAGCTTTTGCTATTCTATTTTGAAGGCTTTCATTCTCTGCCATTGTTAAATCATAAAAATATCAGTAATGTCATATAAGTTTTGTGAAAAGATTCATTTAAGGTACTTCTACCTCCATTCAGATCTTTGTTGATTAAAACTGAAAGAGAGAACATGCGATGTCATTAGAAATTTGCATATACTATTTTCCAACTAAGTGATCAGAGGTGCTAAAAAGAAACTATCACACAAGCTGGTTGATGGCATGATGGCACAATGGCATGATCACATAAGAATCATGCATGCCTGTCTTGGATGAATTGACCTTTTATTTCCACAAAATTTTGAAAAAAGCTATATGCTTCCTAAATGAGTTCTTTGAAAGAGTCAGCAATTGTGTGGAGAAAATTTCACATCTAATATTATATTCTTGGATTCCCAAAACTCTTATGATGGATTTTAAAGAAACTAAACTGTCATGCAGGAAAATACTTTTGCACATACGTACATAATTGAAGAATATATAACAAATATGAATAAATCCTTATTCCTCAAGGAGATTGTCAGAGTCCCATATGGGGCCATCTTACATTCCTAAACATTCTGCAATACAGGTTGAATAATGAGATGAAAAAGTAAGCAAACTATACAAGATTGACCTCACTGTTTAAAACTAAAAGTGACCACAGTGCTCCCCATGTAAGCATTTCATAATGTTGAGTAGCAGATTGATAAAATGAAAAATAAAATTCATAGCCAGTAATTGTCATAATGCATGTGGTAAAAATAAGCTCAACTATACCTACAAATGCTGAACTCTGAATGGAATTCTATCAGATGGGATATGGAAGTTTTAGGTTTTTTAATGTACATATATTTATGGTCTGCAACTCAATGCTTAGTCAAAAGAAAAATTGAATGCCAGGAAAAATTGAGAAGATAATTGAAAATAAAAGAGGAACTCATTATATTTCTGATGCAAACTGCTGTTAATTATCATGCCTTGTTCTGGTGATTCCACCTCAAAATAAATAGATAGATAGATAGATAGATAGATAGATAGATAGATAGATAAAAAGGTATAGTAGAACAAGAAATGAAATGATACAAAAGACAACAAGGGGAACGGGAGCAGAGAAAATACAAAAGCAGACCATAAATGCTATAAAACTTAGCCTAGAACATAGGAAATGAAAGAAATGTGTGACAGAAACATAACAAATAAGATAACTATTATATATTTTTTCTGTACTTCTCATAATACTGTAACAGGAGAAAATTAAATGAAATTATCAGTTACCAAATTAAGATCAGAGAGGAGGAGTACATTTTTCACTTTCTGTATGAAAAGCTGGAGAACTTCCTGCCTATGGATATTTTGCCATTGGTACAAATGGAAAGGTACAAATGGAAAGATGAAGCAGATTAATATAAGCCTACTGATGGCTATGAAATGCCTTTATGAAATGTAGCCTCTACAAGACTCATGGGGCAGAGTTTGTACCCTCCAGAAATCCAAAGTTTTTCTTTCCTTATCCTCTTTCTTAAATTAGCTATGATAACAGATGACAAAGAAAACATATAAGGCTGGAGGAGCCCTTTGCCTGAATCTGTTCACTCACACTAACAGAGAAGGACGAGTGTTAATTTCTCTATCCTGTCTCCTCTGGAGCCTTCTATGCCCTAAGGGCATACATAAAAATGGAGAAACTCTTCCTGTTTTTTAATAAGCATGGTAAAAGAGAGTTGCTGGAATTTTCCCCTGTAAACTATGACACATTCAAAGTCAATCTAACCCTGTAAGTTCTCCCTGATAGGATCTAATGGGAATAAAATTTCAAAATTAGATGTCAAGTGGCCAATATGCTCAATGCTACATATCTTACCTTTATGACTACTAAGACATATTCACAATTCACAGGACTTCCTGAATAAAATTCTTTGCCTTTCAGAGGGCCATGCCGATAGCTAATTTAAAATCAACTCTGAATTTTTTAGCAATTTGTTTGACTTCAGAAGTATCTTCAGAGATATGTGATGTAACTCTATATATAGTTCTTTCTAATCTTATTTTTTAAATAACCAACTTGAATTCAAGCATTTGTTGAAAGGAAAGACTGTTCTCTGCTATTGTAAGAAGGATGTCATTGTCAAGTAATAGGGGTCAGCTCTAACCATTAGTACACATTTCAAATGTTATCAAAAATAGGAGTTCTAATGACAGAATTATGACAGAATTGGGTCTTTTAACAAAACTTGCTGAAGAATTTTGCAGATTTGTCTTAAAATACATCATAAATGTGTAAAGTATGAGACAGTATCCTTAAAGATTTTCAGAATTTTACCTTAGTTTATCTAACTAACTTTATATAACAGTTAAAAATCAAATCTGATCAATAGGCAGTGGAAAAAAATCAGTGCAGATGAAGACCAATAAGATACAGGAAGAGTGAACACAGTGATTTCAGAACTGTAGCTGCAGATGTTTAACAGTACCAGTAAAAATGTCATCTCTTCATAATGCATCTGAGTACTTACCTAAACATTGTCAGTGCAATGAACTAATGCACCTGCTAAGGTAATATCTGCAATAATAAATGATATAAAGTAGCTGGGAAGGCAAATGATATGTTGATAGCTGCAGCTTTTGCCAGTGAGTTAGAATTGAGTCTCTCAGCTCCTCTAAGCACTACAGACACTACTGCGCAGTGTCACGCTTGTGACTGTAAAAGTAGTACCATATTGGAAAGCTAGGCAGAAAAGGTCTACAAGTTCTTATTTGAAGAAGGAGAACAACTTTTACTTTAGATATTACAGATACATCCAACTTTCCTTTGAACTTTTCATATTTGAAGGGGGCTATCACCAAAAATATTGACATTCCAAAGTGCTGAGCTCTGCGGATTTCCACATCTGACTATGGAAGCTGAAGAACTGTGAGAACCAGATTTACATTTACTTGTCTAAGAGCAGTCATTTTCACACCTCTGGTGAAATATGGTTTCAGTGAAATCAGGGACATGTATCACTTTTGGCTCAAAGGGACCAGGATTCTTCAGCAAGAGAAAAAGTCTTTTGGTCCCCAGGTCCTCATCCAGCACTACTTAAACTTTTCACCCCTGCGTTCATTCTCACTTTTTAAAAGTTTTTTATTTTTAATGTTATTATAGACAATTATAAAATTTGATCATACTGAGGCAAATAAGCTTTAGTTAAGTAATAATGCAGAACGGCACATCTACTTTTTATAGACACTGGTCAGCTCCCTGTTGCATTAAAGAATTGATTCATATTTGAAGAAAAATAATTTAATTTCATATATGACTTTTTCTGTATCTGTCTGTAGCATTCTTCTATTTTATGGCAGTAGATATTCTCCTGGATGTCATGCTTTGGATTTTTCGTACCTGACTCAAAGTACTTGTTTATTCTTAGTTAAATATTTAAGTAAGAATAACCTTCCAGAATATTACTTATAATAGTAACATTTAAAGTTTACATACCAGTCCTCCAAAGGTTGCTTTAAATGACATTTTGTCAACTGGCCATTATCTCCGAGTCCGCACTGCAGACCTTTAAAAGTGCTCTGAAATAAATTACATAGCATACATTTTTTATAACCAATATTATCTGTGGTAATTATTTCTTTGAATCTAAGAGTAGTGGTTTTCTTCCAGAAAAATAAAAATTCCAAAAGTTTCTAAGTTAGAAAATGGTATTAGAAGTTAAATAGTAAATTTATTGCAAAAGCTTCTTTGAAAATGTTATGGAACATCTTAGAAGTATATGATAGAGAATTTTCAGTAAATCCTCTACAGTTATTAGTTACTATTTGATATTTTGTTTGGTATGTGAATAAAACAGTGGAGAACTAAAAAAGAGGGAAATGAAACAGAGTAAGTTTGCTTGCATTTTATTATTCTAAAGAGATGCAAATTCTATGACTAGTACCTTCAGAAGACAACAGGATGTCATTAGCTCTACATCAAATGTAATTTCATTCTAACACAATTTTAAAGTGAAAAAGAATATTTTCCTAACTGCTGTACAGAAGAGCCACTCTACCTCCAGCAAGATCCTTTCTGATGTATGTACTATTATCTACCACGTTAAAAGTGAACAACTAATTCTGGGAACAAATAAACTACAATTTTGTGCATGAATTAGCTGAAACAGGATATGGATAAAGCCCAGATCAATTAACCTCAAATATAATCACACATCTGTGTTCAAAACAGGCATCCTCAACTCCTCTTGCTCTCACCTGGCTTATAGGGCAGCCGTAGGCACTTCAGTGTCAAAGTTCCCCAGCTGATTAAATCCCTGGACTGTGGACATCAACAGTCATTACACAGCACAGCTGAACAGCTAGGCACCCAAATTTAAATTATTCCTAACTGAATACTACATGGAACATCCTTGTCAGTCAGTCCCTCAACCAATAATGTCTCCTAGCTCATCTATAGAAGTAAGTTCTGCACAAGTATCATAAGTTTTCTTTACAATACTTGCCTGAAAAGAAAAATAATAATACCCTAAGAGTTTAAATGTAATGGAAAGATTTATGAACCAGTCCCAGGCTCCTGACAGTGCCTGTTTCTTTCTTCCTAGTGTAGAGACAACTAAATGTAAAATGCATGAGTAATCCTGAAATGGAGAATGGGAGACTATTTGTTGTGAAGGATAGATCTCCTCACAGAGTTTTAGAGTCACTGCACTGAAGTTCTTTACATCTGCTGCAATACAGCAACCTGGTTTTTAGAAAATGAGTGGAGTATGCCACCCACCATCCAGTCCTGTTGAAAACCTGATGGTACATTTCCATGATTTGGGATTTGAATTTTCTTGCATAGAAAAAAATCAGAAATGCAGGCTTTCTAGTTTCTAGGAAAACAGCAGCATGTACTGGACAGAAGAAAAAAAGAAAAAAAGAAAAAAAAAAAAAGAAAATGAAGAAGTAAAAAGGAAAGAATCAATTAGGAATCAAAGAATAAAAGTTATCACTATTGTGATTTTTGATCTGAACTCAAATCTGTAAATGTCTGTTGTCCACTGACAATGTCTCCTGGATTGATCCCTGTGAGATTTAGGCAGGACAGCTTGTTCCTTAGCACAGTGAGGTCTCTGCTGAAAGGAGATTTCCTACCATGGAGATGAAGTGGCTGCTGAACAGTGTCTTTGTGGGAGTCCACGTTTCTGTCTGGGATGTCAGGAGATGGCAAGCTCTCCCATGCAGGCACTGTGGCTAGTCCCTGCGTGTTCAGTAAGCCCACTTCACTGGGGGGTCCTAGAGCTTACTGGTCCTGAACGTATGGATATGTACTGGTCCTGATGTGTATGAATAAATATAATAGAACCAGGAAATGTTCCTAGCCCCAAAACTTGAACATTTATGTTTTTAAATCATTAGACTAGCCCTGTGTGCAATTTTTGCTCATGCTAAATAGCATTCTCACATATAAAAATTATTCAGAAGCAAGCATTCCCATAAATATTTTATAGGAGGCATTCTGATTTGTAGAAGGAGGGAGTTTAGGAGCAGGAAAAGGGACATTTCCCCCTGATGTCCTGGAGAACAGTCCTGAGCACATCCGTGTTAGCTGCTCTGGAAGCAGCCATTGTGCAGCATGTGTCTGTAATAGACCTGTAGATTTCTTGAGCAGAGGGCTCCAGGTGAAGGCATCTGGAGTGGCGCTAGCCAGACACTGTATGTCCTGTACTCCCAAGCCACACCTCAGCAGAGGAGCACATCTGAGACCTCTGGTTTCAGAGCTGCCAGGTGGGAAGCAACAAAGCTACCTGTACCACAGGAACTCTTAAAATTCCAGGTGTCTTCCTCAAAATCCCCCTCATCAGTTTCTGTTAGAAAGAGATTCTGTTAGAAATTTAGGTCTACAGTAGCATCTCCCTCACACTGTTTTTGTTTAATCTGTATTAATGACTTATATATTAAAGCCCACCTTATCCTGTTTGAATATTTCAGTTAGTACTTGGCTGCGGCCTCTTGCTGCTCCTTGTGGTTGTGTTGGCTCAGCAGTGTTA